TCTAATCATTATGCATGACACCAATGGCCATGTGGACACAAGAAACATAAATATAAAGGGTTATGAAATATGAGACGATCACTCTCACAATCACAGTGTGAATTCCTTCAAAAAGGTATATATATATATATATATAATCATAGGCAAATTCAAATCCGGACTTCAACTCTCAAGACATACCTGCAATCACATCAAAGCGTCAACACCAACAAACACGCACTACACGGGGTCAACTTTAACCATTCATTGTACTCACACCCCTTGCTTCAGCCACACAAACCCAACCTTCATCTAACCTTCCATAATGAAATACTCGATCCTTTTTAAATGACCACTCAATAAAGTCCGGGTAAAAACCCAAAAGAAACATTTCAATCCACAGGGGTTAAGGCCTTTAGGTTGAGTAACGGGAATGAATTAGAGTTGAGCCAGGAACCGACCTGTTATCAAAATATAATAGAAGATGACCCTCGTAGGATCAAGTTGGAGCTAGTCAAGCCTTGAATCAATCTGAAATAAGAGTAACCTGCAACATAGCACAGGCCAGTGCCCAAGCTATGTTTGAGTGACTTTATAAAGTAATCCTATCTCCCTACCTCACCTCTGATATTTATCTGAAATATCAGAAATTTTCGGTAGTATCTCTCCTACGCGAGGGCAGACTGTCAAACTCTCAATGGTCCTAAAACGGTCTAACTCCTCTAGATTTCAGAAAATTTTGGCATCACTTCCCGTAGGAAAAGTGCCTTTGCAGAATTTATACAAAGCTAAGTATGAAATCCAAAAGTAATCGTGATTTCATAAAGTCAAATTTTGTCTAACTCCCTGAATTAGTAAAAATTTGGGCAGCATCTCCTTTAGAAAGCGAGGCTTTCCAGATTTGTACTAAGTCATATATGAAGTAAAGAAAGTCGAACTTTATGAAAGACAAAATTTAACTAACTCCTTGGATTTGCAAAAATTTTGGTAACGCTTCCCGTAGAAAAAGTGCATTTCGAAAATTTATACAAAGCCAAGTAAAATAAATGATCCCAGAAAATGCGAGAATTGAACTAAGTAAAAATAAAGTCAACTCAGAAAATGCAGGAATTGAACTAACTCCTATAATTCCAGCACATGGCGAGCATCTAAGCACTACCTATCAAAGTCACGACTCAGAACAAGTAGAGTTCACACTCAGCCGCATGCAAGTCCATACCACAATGAGTAAGTACTCTCACCAATTTCCCAAGTTGATTTCATATAGGTAGTTCATCATCTCTCAGATGAGTAAGACTCAAATACCCCAGCTTACATATGGCATAAGAAGGTTAAGCCAAACCGAAGCCACATTGCTTAACCTTTGCCTGTGTATACACAAAACAAAGAGCACTACTACTTTTTTCTTCTTTGGGAAGTTAGCTAGACCAAACCGAAGCCGCATTTGTCTAGCCTTGCCAAATGTTTAACATCCAGAATTATAATAACTCTCTGAACCCCTTTTTTCTTTTGAAGACCAAGACTGAGCCAAACCGTAGCCACATTGCTCAGTCTGCCTTAAAATACATTTGTTGTATTCTTAATTAAATATGATCTTCTCTTTTTTGTGATAGGCTATAGTCACACCAAACTGAAGCCACATTGTTTGACTAGCCTGTTCAATAACAAAAATATATTACATATATATCGTCACAAATATATAAAAAATCATATTTTCAGGTTTCTCCTTATGTGAGTGACTTCAGACTAAGCCAAACCGAAGCCACATTGCTTAGTCCTCCGTCCAAACCTCCCTCAGAAAAAAACTTGTAGTTGGATCTGACCGAAGCCACATTACCCAAATTTTAAACCCTTTCAGCAAAACAAATCCACATAACCACAGCAACCAGGCCTGACCAAATCCACGTTGTTTGATTGCTCAGATAACAACTTAAAAGAGTATGACAATCAAACCTGACTGAAGCCATATTGTCGGAATGTCAGAGACATGAACAATACGGCAGTCCGAAGCCACATTGCTTGGCTGCGGAGAAAATAGAAATAAACAAAGGAGACTCCATCATTGCAAGCAAAACTAACTTTCTCCCACCTTCCCCCAGTTCATCCCTCTCTGTCTGACTTCAAACAAGCAAAAGAAAGAAGAAGACTGAAGTTTGCGCATGCATTCCTTTAGTTTATTCCGACTTAGTTCGAGAAAGTCAAACATAAAATGTATAAGGATGCATTCAGTATAATCCGACATTCATAGAGAGATGTACTCATAAGGGTTTTAGCAGGGGTTTATAGAAGGAGTTAAAAAATTACCTCTTGGTTCCCTGCCTCTAGAACTCCTCCTGAGTTCCAGCAGAGCTCCCGCAATCGGTGGGCAGACTCCCCACAGAGTCTTGATGCAGTCTTACGGGCTGCAATCCCGCCTGCCGCCTTCCTCTCGTAACCCTAGACTAGACTTAGAGTGAGAAGGGCAGAAGGAGGGGTTTATAGACGCTCGAGATACAAGGAAGGGACAAACTCAACTCGCAGGAGAGGGCCTTAGTACCTTGATGCGCCTGAGGGCCCCGCAATGGTAACCAAAACGAGTCGTAGAACGACCACTATTGCGGCCTATACACAACACAACCAACACCCTGACGATCTTCAAGTCACTGTAGTAGTCCCTATGTATACCCAAATCACTTCCTCAGGTTGTTACGTCGTTCCTCCATGATCGAAACGTCGTTGTGCAGCTTATAAGTGCAATGCTTTGAGTAGAGCCTACCCCATGCTTTGTTCGAAAAACCGGCGAAAATAGAGTAGCACTCAGCAAACTCAAATGCAAGCAGTAGTCGTAAGTAGTGGCGAGGCTAGATAACATGCCCTGCAGCTTGCCTCGCAAAACCCAGCCAATTATGATTGCAACCAGTAAAATACTGCGTGCAGCCACCATGCACCGTTGTTATGCCCTAGTTATGTATAGCTGAGGGCACAATTCCACAAGAACTTCTCAGAACTCTTAGCTCAGCATATTCAGCAACCGAAGCACAATCCCCTCGTTCTGCAGATGAACTCCCCCTTCGGAGGCCTGTTCCAACGACAAGGTGCAAGCCCCCCACTCAAACAAACACAGTCCACCACATCCACTCACCCGATTGACTCCAAGCGGCACCTGTTTACCGCCTTCAAACTGTTGCTATGTAGCGGAAACGGTTGTGCACAACTGTTTCACAGCAGCCTGGATGGATCGAGGGAGGGAGGGAGGGAGGGAGGGATGGCGAGATGGGAGGGAGGGAAGGATGGCGAGATGGCGAGGGAGGGACGGAGGGACTATGGCGAGATGGCGAGATGAGAGGGACTATGGCGAAACGGGAGGGAGGGAGGGATGGCGAGATACTATGGCGAGGTGTGGATATAGGAGGGAGGGAGGGGTGGTGAGATGGCGAGGGAGAGAGGGAGTATGGCGAGATGTGGAGATGGGACGGACTGTGGCGAGATGGGAGGGAGGGAGGGATGACGAGATGGCGACCTACCAAACGATGGACAAGATGGCGGCGGCGGCAGGGCGGTATGGTGTGATGGCGGGGTATGGCGGCGGGCTGTGGCGGCAACCCTACAAGAAGAAGAAGAAGAAGAAGAAGAAGAAGAAGAAGAAGAAGAAGATGGCGGTGGTGGCTGGGCGGTATGGTGGCGGATTGTGGCGACGGTCCTACAAGAAGAAGAAGAAGAATAGGAAGAAGAAGAAGAAGAAGATGATGATGATGAGAGGGGAGGGAGGAGGAGGAGGAGACAAGAGGCGGAGGAATGATCGGCGGAGAGGAAGAAGAAGAAGAAGAAGAAGAAGAAGAAGAAGAGGATGACGAGCGGAGCAGTTTTTTTTTTTTTTTTTTTGCCTATCGTTTATCTCGCGACCTATCGCTAACGAAGAAGAAGAAGATGGCGGCGGCGGTAGGGCGGTATCGTATGGTGGCGGGGTATGGTGGCGGGCTGTGGAGGCGGTCCTACAAGAAGAAGATGAAGAAGAAGAAAAGAAGAAGAAGAAGAAGAAGAAGAAGAAGAAGAAGAAGAAGAAACCGACACTCCACGTCGACGGGCAGCAGGGGTTGTAGAGAGGCAGGAACACCATGATGGAGGACGCTGGCGACAGGCGACGGGCGACGGGCGACACGACGACGGCGGGCGAGTGAAGCTCCCAGGCAATGGCGACGAGGGGCAGCTACTTTGACGACGGGCGCCTCGACGACGAACGCAGCCGGCTACAGCAGGTGTCGATGCGAGTTTGGACAGCGAATGCAGGCCGCCCCAGCCAGTGGCTTGTTCAAACGGGGCCTCCGTTTTCCCTCCAAAAACAAACTGCCCTCTGGCCATTGATCATGGATGATCGACGGCCAGAGGGCCGTCCCAAATTAAAAAAAAAAAAACAGGCCTCACAGGCCCGACGCGCCGTTTTCTGGTCGTGGTCGGACCCGGTAGGCCCTGGGGAGGCGAAATCTCCCCGAATCGGGGTCGGGAACGCCCCGCCAACAAGGTGTGCTGGGGGGGCCCGGCCCCCAACCGGCCGCCCGCCCGGCCAGGCCGCCCAGGACCTACCCCGGGCAGTCGGGGCAGGCACCAGTCGGTCGGGCGGCCCGGATCTGTACGCAGAAAAATAGGACATTTGTGATAAAATTCGGTCTGTATTTTTTTGACAGTTCATAGGTATACCAACTGTACCAGGCCGCTTGTTGACTAGCCAGCCCTAGATCATAGGTCAGGCGCTTCAGCACCATTCATTCCGTTTTCCCGATGAGTAGAAGGGTGCGGGCCTGCTGCGAAGTCTGTAGCGCGAACCTAAGTGAGGCGCGCCCTGGTGCAGATCTTGGTGGTGACAATTTTTTTATTTTATTTTTTAAATGAGAACTTCTGAAGTCCGAGGTGGGGAAGGAATCCAAAGGATCCCATGTGCGCAGCTGCCTACAACAGCGTGCCTCCCCACTGGGCTCTGGGCCGCTCCGTCCCGGCACGGTTTACCATCTTTCGGGCCCCAATGGGCATGCTCAGGGCATACTCACACTGCGGGCCCCCGCGGCCATGCTCACTCTCAAGCTTCTCACAACAGATCGTGATTGGCGGACTGCTGCACTGCAGCCCCCTGCCACTGAAGCTTTCTCCGTCTCGTGGGCCAAACACCCACAGGCTTGCATGCGCGTTGACCTTCTTGGTCCGAGTTTCAACAGTTCATGGGGATATCAATTGAGTTGCGCCCGCTTGTCCCGCAAACGATCCTGATACCAACACTGGTGCCGCGACCCAGAAGCGGGACCGACAACTAAAATAACTAAAGAAAAATATAAAAATAAGAGCAAAAATAAAAGTGTGCTTTGGGGAGGGGAGACCGTCGACGCCCCTCTCAGTTCCGTTAACCGGGCCCATGGACGGGCCAACAACAAAACTAAGGGGGAATAGCCCTGTCGGGCCCTCAACCCCGGGGCAGCTTCAATCATTTCAATGTTCCACCACTACCAGTCGTCGCCCTCGATCCCTGTACCTACTGCTTGAGAGTTCAACATCGTAGCCGATAGTGCTATGCCAAGGGTTGGCATTGACACTATTAGAAAGCCTTATAAATGGGTTCGGCAGGTTGCGGCCTTATGAAGAAGCCTTAAAGGCCACGCTTTGGCGTATCGGCTGAACTTCTGACCGCGAACCGGTGTCCTCCTATCGTGCGGGCGCCAGGCTCCGTGCACGGCCCGTACTTCTTCATCACCGACTATACTAACCCCGTTTTTACTGAACCTTTTCCGATACAGTAAAAGTCGCCCGCGCCTTAAACTAGCTCGTCCATACACCCTCTAATCTCACTTCGCACGCCCCGTCGTCTGACTAAAATGAGTCGAGCGTGGGCCGCACGATACTCATATAAATTATGGCCTTCTAGTATCCCCTCAGACGCTACTTGTGTGAAGTACAAATGCCCGCGCGAATACCCTTGTAAGGGTGTTCGTGCTGACAACGCAAGAAATGAATGAGCAGATCGTGCTCTCTTATCTCTAACCCTGGAGTCGAAGTCAGACTCTCAAAGGTAGAATAGAGTTTGGACAAGGAGCCATCAAATTTCTTTTGGCCCAGGTGCAAAAGTTTATCTGCTGCTTTCCTGGCCTGCTCCTTGTCTGCAAACCTATCATGCAGAGCCTGCAGGAAAACAGCCACCCCCAAGCTCTGTGCCCAATCAGACATTTCCATCCCTTGCTTGCTGGAGGTGGCAGTGCATCATTTCAGTGCAGTCCGCTCCAAGCGAGCAAGGATGGCAGACACCTTGACATCCTCATCACATTTGAACCCACTCAGGTAGGTTCTCTGGGCAGTGACCCAATCTGCAACATCCACCTTTGGGTCCTCGCCTGAGAACATGGGTGGAGGCGTTAGCTTGGGCCGCTGAAAGTCAAATGGTGTTGAGGGCTGTGAAGCTGCTGTTGATTTGGGGGTAGAGGATGGAGATGAGGGTATGGATTGTGGGAGTTTCTGGGAGCCTGCTTGAGATGGCCCAGGAGAGGGAGGAGCTGTCTGAGCAGGTGGGATCTGCAGGTGGACGAAGAGACGGTCCTGTTTGGCGGAAATATCCTTCAGCTGCTGAGTATGCTCAGCCATGCTGTCCTCCAGACTGGTAGTAAATAGGACTGATGAATTTCATCATGTAGAAGGACGAATTCAGCTATGTCCTTATTGTACTGGTTGGAGTTGCCACTCCTTCTAACCTTCTCCACGTCAGCTGTCAGTTCCCTCCTTCTTGTTTCCTTTCTGGCAGATTCCTCCTTCCTCTTCAGCTCAGCCTTTAGAGACTTATCTGCTTTGGCCTGTTGGCGGAGTATCTCCTCCTGGGCCCACAGTTCAGCCTCAAGAGGGTCAAGCAGAACCAGCGACTTGGGCGGTATCTGAGGCTTCACCTCAGAAGTCTCAGCCTTCTTAGACACTTCGCCCTTCTCAGAATCGACCATTTTGGTCACCCACAATGCAAATAAATAAAAATAAACAATTAATCAGAGACAAAACGGGAGGTAGCAGGAATTGAGGTTTCCCTTCAGTACTCACTCAATTACTGTCACCTACCCGGAGAGAGAAGGTTGGTTAGTGCTGAGCAAGTGAGTGCTCAGTCTCAGCAGACCACTTGAGGGTCAGGATCAGTTAAGAGTAGACTCAGCAAAAATCAATTCCACGATTTTCCCATCCCTGCCCTGACACAACAATTGCATGCGATAAATGCAAATCCTGCTTCAATAACTGACAGGATGTAGTCTTGGACTGATTAGTGTTGATTAGTTGTTAGACAAAGTGACTAATTAGGGTTTGACAGGTGTCCACTGATAACCAAGATGCAACGATTTACAGGTAACCCTATTTTCAGACCTACCCTGCAGACTTCACCACTGTATGACCCTGTATGCCATACCCTGGGTATGGCGAATTACAGTTTTCACTGTAACTGACTCAGAACATCAAATCTGGATATGCGATTTTAAACACACGCTGAGTACTGAATTGCGATTTACCAAGGACTGACAAAATTGAATTCTGACGGACAAAATCAAAGTTATGACTGACCCTAGTCTAGCCAAGCTTTAGCTGTGTCATCGCAGAATTCAAATTTGCATTATCACTGAAAAAAAGACCCTGAATTCACCAATTTACTACATTGTATCAATCGCAATACTGTAAAGTAGTCACAGATGAAATATGAGTCAGAAAGAAGGTAAAACAGGGTTAGTAGAAGTAAAAGAAGATAGGTAGGGGAAGTTGGATATGGCTGTCCCACAGTCTGAATTTCAATTTTCAACTATACACTGACAGACATACCAAATTTCGCTATTCTAAAAATAACCCCAGAATCGCCACACGGGATGGAGTAAGGAACACACTTACTTCAGGGTCAACTCTGAAGAAGATGCATGAAATCCTGGCTATGGCTGACTGGTCAACCCCATCTCGCCAGTTTCATCTCCTGACAGTATCCACTGTTCCCACGTACCAAATTGCCTGAAACTTGGTGATCTAGTAGATTACCCTGAGGCGCTTCACCCCCAACCGACAGATTCAAAGAATTCGGACTCCCAGGTGCCAATAACTGACAACCTCAGTGCAGCGGCACATCACCCTGTACTGCGCGACTTGGAAATTGGGGATCCTGACCCAATTCCACAATCGCGACCTCCTGGGATCACTTCCCTGTCAATCGCCAGCCTCCAGATGAATCGCCAGGCTAAAAATAGCCTCCCAGAGCCTTTCAGGCCTCTGAGCAACAATCGCCAACCACTCCTGCACAACCCTAGTTAGGAGTGAGTCACCCTTTGTCCAATTCTTCTCGCCACACACTCACAACCACCACCCTTACTGAAAATAACCCTGAAGATGATGAATCGCCATGAGACTCAACTCCAGTATCTCGCCAGATGATGATGGGTGCTCCAACTCATCAATCACTTCAGTGCCTGGATCCAGTCGCTCTGATACCAACTATTATGATTCTCGTTGTTTGTTGTCTAAAGACCAACACTCACGCACATAGACTTCCAGGTATGCCCATACATACACAAAAGGAAGGGGATAGGATAGGAGTATCACACTGCACAGGGAGAGATAAACACAACGGAAGACTTGACCACGCGATATGACAGGGTACACTGAAAGTGCAATTTACTCCACTCAATCCTCACAACCAGTCATAGAGAAAAGCCGAGCAGATCACATCCAGGAAAACAATGAAACGATGATAGTCCAAACCCAGTTACACACTGTTTATTAAACTCAGAGTCTCGAATTGTCAGAATAACCTCAATACTACAGTGCTCTGCTAAAAAATGAGCAGCGCTTCACTCCCCAACCCTGATTAGCCACTCGTAACACCCCTGAGCCCCTGAAACACCAAGCGCCACCCTGATACAGCCTCCAAAGGGAAGCGCCACCCTGAAACAGGCCTCTGAGGCCAAGCGCCACTCAGAGGATGAAGAAGAAGACCAGCGCCACAGTATCTGATGATGACGAAGTGTCGGAAGACTTCCCGGGCGGAAGTCTGCAGCAGCGCCACCAAACCCTGACAAGATGACCTCTGAGGAAGGAGCTGCAGCTATGGCTGCAGTGCCACACCCCTGGAACCCCACTACGGAGGAGGGTCCAGCAGGGCACCAACCTCTCTCGCCTCCAGCAGACCTCGATAGCCCAGACCTCTGTCAGCCCCTGCGTGCTGGCAGAGTACAGCGCAGGTCCCAGCTATGGCCGGCTCTCCGAAGGTCTGGCTATGCCTGTCTCCTTCCATGCTGAGCCGTCACCACTTCCGGTTCACGCGTAGCGCAGCAGCGATGTACTCGGTACCAACTGCCAAAAGCCCTGAACCGATGTGGCCATTCTATCTATGGACTACAACTAGCCTAGACTCGACCTAGACCGGATTGACTGACTGACCGGTACCAATTCAGTTCCGGCCTCTCGGCCTCTACCTTACCCGGCTATAGGCTATAGGACCGTCTATCAGCATAGGCCCTTAGGGCCTGTCTGTCCTAGGGGTAGCCCGGGCCTGCTATTCGCAGTTAGGGTAGCAGTAGGAAATTCGGTTAGTGTTAGGCCTGTATTTTCACAAATTTGCAGGTATGTCCCTCACGAATTTCCAGTACAGGTAGGTCTCTCCGTTAGCCCTCAGCCAAACAAAATTACGAATCTACCCTACCTATGGTACAGCCTCGACAGAGAGGCTACAGGCGACCAGAAAACAGCAAGTCATTGCATATCTCCCTCCCCTGTTAACGAAAACTGAGAGGGAGTGGAGGTCTGTGTTCCAACTCCCACCTCTGTATTATACAGAGGATTGATCGTCATTGCACCCTTTGGTTGTTGAGACCCCCATACCCCCTGACCCACATTGCTTGACAGAAGTGAGACAAGGGGTGAGCATAAGTATTTTTTCTCTCCTACTTGCTCCCTGCCTGTATTAGAAGACACAGTGTGCATTGTAAGAGTTCGACATCTCTGTGATTTTTCTTCTTCTGTAACAGTTAAAGTCTCGTCACCAGACAATTGTTCCACTTCTTCCATGGTACGCGAATGCATCAGGTGCTGTTGAAGTACAGTTCTGATTGGTGAGTGCAGTTGTTTTGATGCAATCTGCCTCATCGCGCCTCTAAACATAAGCATAGAATCCACTTGTCTGTGAACTCTCTGGTTCCTGATAATTCGTGTCATGATTACAAAAAACGTAGATGAAAATAAATTACCCTTAGCTAATTGCTACAATGCCTTTTGTTCTTTCTGGCTGGGAGGAGACAACAAGGAAACCCAGAGCAAAGGGTTGAGGTGAGCAGAGACACGATACCCTTTTCTCGTGAGTGTACCAAAATTCCACCTCTGAAGCCGCTTCGTGTCGTTCCCTGCTGGTCTCACCCTCCCCTCCAGGTATTGTAGACTCCCTCGGTCTCCCTATTCTTTCCTTCTCCCTAGAATCTTCTCTCCTCCCCAAGTGCACCACCAACGATTCCCACAAAAAAACATCTTATGGAAGAATGATCATTCTACGTACCACCAGTCAGCTGATTTAACTACTTTTCCTTCCCAAGTTGATGATGACCTGGTCAACACGACTATCTATGTGGACACGGACTCCTCTCCTCCTTCTGCGACTCCGTCAAAAAGCCGCATCTCGTGTCATCGCCTATTGTCCACTCGTGTTGACCGAGCGAAGCTCATTCTCATACATGCATTATCAATGCGACTCCGTCAAAAAGCCACTCGTGTTGACCCAGCGAAGCTTCTCATACATGTATTATAAAAAAATATTTCGCTGGAAGACGACATTCTCATTACTCAACATTCTCCCACCCTTCGCCAACCAAACGCTCTCCCTTAGTGACACGTGGCAGTATACCATGTGTACTTTACTGGAGCTGCTGACTGGTCAAAGAAGACTTCGTATGACAACCAAGGCCTGTGTTTCCCAAGCCTTTCGCGGTAACCTGGGCGTGGCAGAACAAAAATTTCACGCTGAAAGTTGACGTCCTCTCAGCACTCGTCATTCCTCCCATCGTCTGCCAACCAAACACTATCCCTTAGTGACACGTGGCGGTGTGCCATGCGTACTTTACTGGAGATGCTGACCGGTCAACGAACATCTCGTCAGACAACCGTGGCCTGTGTTCCGCAAGCCTGTTGCGGTAACCTGGGCGCGACATCGTTTTCCATGCTTCCATGGGGCAGATAGCTCAACGACGACGGAGAGATGTTTTCTCGTTCTCCTTTTAGTTTCTTGTACGTCCCATGATTCACAGTCATCATTCCTTGCATCGTCCGCCAACCAAACGCTCTCCCTCAGTGACACGTGACGGTATGCCATGTGTACTTTACTGGAGCTGCTGACCGGTCAACGAAGACCTCGTCAGACAACCGTGCCCTGTGTTCCGCAAGCGTGTTGCGGTAACCTGGGCGCAAAAACGCTTTCGGTGCTTCCATGGGGCAAATAGCTCAATGACGACGGAGAGATGTTTTCTCGTTCTCCTTTTAGTTTTCTTTTATGCCCCATGATTCACTGACGCCTCTGAAATCCGTTTTCAGCGGTGCGCACCGTCAGAGGTTCCCATGTCTGTCCTGCTTGGGTGTTCACTACGTTCACACGGTTTCTGATACCCTTTTTATTTGCAGAGCATGAAACTTGGGTAGCCTGTAAAAAAACAAAAATCACCCACAACTGAATTCGGGGTCTTTAAAAAATCAAGTATTGTTTACAATCCAATTAAAATTTAAAACAAATCGGAAATGATGTCACACCGGTGTTGAGCTAGCTCAACAACGCAAGTGGGACATGGCCCCCGGGGTCAGACCGGGAACCAGCAATGGATTGTTGGCAATTTCCGTTCTTAAAAAAAAAAAAAAAAAAATTTCTCTCTGTACACTTGAACGACATGTTGCTCTTGTCTAGACTGGTTACTCGCATTCGTCCGTCTATCCACTCGGGTCATAGTTATGTGGGTTGGCACCTTGGTGGCGGCACTTGCTGTTCATAGGGACTCTGCTGTTCGTTTGGACTCTGACGAACAACACTGCAGGATTTCTCCGTGCTCGTGGTGCACTTTGTGCTGCATGTAATGGAGAGTCTCAAAACCTTCTTTTGTTTGTAGTGTTTATGGAGAGAAATCTGAAGAGAGAGAGAGAGAGAAAGTGGTATGGAATCTCAGATAATAAAAGGAAGGTTTTTGCAACTGCGAGTACTCGTACTGCTTACTCACCCCGGTTGTGCAGACGGTGAGAATGTATGTTGAGTCTCCCGGCAGTTGAGTGAACAATATGCATTGCACTGGCGAAGTGTACTGTGATTGCTCGAACAGCTGAAATCGATGTAAATACACATTGGAGTGCCGCACAACAATGAAGTTCAAATTTAAAAACAGAATCCGAAATTTAAATTTTCAAATCATTTGAAATTTGAAGTTCATGTCCTTCAGGACATCCCTTAAAATCGGAGCCATACAGAGATTCTGAAGGAAGATTAGCATGGCCCCTGCGCAAGGATGACACGAGAAATAGTCCCAAAAAAAAAAAAAAAACTTAGCGAAAAGGCGAATGCACCAACAAAGAAGAATGGAACAAACAATTTGACCGAGCTAGGAGCCGAAAGAAAAGGAAAAGAAAAAGGAAAAGGAAAGGAAAGCTTCAGAAAGAGGTACGGTAATATCTATGAGGACGAACTTTTGCAAGTTCAACTTCGAACCAGAAGAGCAAAGGAGAGAAAAAGGAGATCTGTCACATTTTTGCAGGGGGAGCGAAAAGGGGTTGGGAACTTTGGAAGGAAAAATGGCAACAATCACAATCTGCAAGTTGGATTTTCGACCAGAAGAGCCAAGGGAAAAACCATTAGCCACCATACTTTATCGAGAGAAAAAAAAAAACAGGTCCGAAAGGAAACTGGAAACAACAACCAATCCACGAGTTCAATGGCAAACCAAAAGGGCAAAGGGAAAAAAAGTCCATCATATTTCAATGGCAAAAGAAAAGTTTGAATTTTGAAAGGAAAATCACAATGTCAACACCAACAGGTGGAGTTGGTACGGTGGTACCTGCAATTGACATAAATGGCTTCACCAGAGACATGAAGCCGCTCAAGACCATTTATGGAGGTGCTCCAGGTCTGAAGGAAAAGCGAGGAATTTAATTGTACGCTGCTCCTAAAACACTCCGGTGACCCACAAGTGGTTCTCATTGCGTCATCAGAAAAATACCTCCTTGTTATGTAATGAGAGAAACTCTCATCGCTGTGACAATTCAAGACCACCCCTTTAACCAGCTGTCCTCACAAAAGTTCAATAAATCATCACCCAATTCCAGCTAGAACTTCTCCCAGAGACTTGTTTTGTGAGCCCTTCTATGCCCAGTGTCTTATTATTATGAACTGCAAACCAGTACATGGCCGGGCAGCCAAGTTGAGAGTCCGACTTGCTAAAATTTCGGAGGCTTGCACACCTTCGATAAAATGAACCGACGGTGGGCGTCCTCCGAAAGGGGCCCGCAGCCGATGGCTGGCATGTACTCGTGGTTTTAGAGAACAGTCTGTCCAGAGCCTGTGCCTCCTCTTCTGAAATCTCTCTCCCCGGTTGCTCAAGCATTAGTCCGATAGACCTGGATTAAAGTTCTACATATTAGAACTCGTGTAGCTTTCTTCAATATTCCTTCTGTATCTCTGCTGATTTCCAAGGACTTGTTGATATCAGTGACTTAGTGAGCCAAGTTGAGAGTCAGATTGACCCTCTCCTAAAATTTAGGAGGCTTCATGCCATCAATAAAATAAATCAATGGTGGATGGCCTCCAAAAGGGGGCCGCAGCCTACGACTGGCATGTACTGGTGGTTGAAGTTGTTTTTTTTCTTTTTTTCTTTTTTTCTTTTTTTTTTTAACAGAAAAGCAACCCGAGGTAATGCGAGGGGTGCTGATAAGAGCAGGCACCACTAGCACTCTCAGGGTGGCTCCATCTATTGGTGAGGAGCAGCACCTGCCGGAAACCGCGCCCGGCGTCCCTTTGTACATACAAAACGAGTTGCATGGTTGCCTTTGTTGTCCACTGTACTGCATGTCTGATGAGGCTGTGTATGAAGATCCCATGGGCAGAGAGCAAGCCCCCTCCCACAAAAGAGTTAGCCCCACTGTCGCCTGCAATCAGACTCGCTTTCTTTTCCACTAAGCATACATGCAAACAGATGGCGATTCACACTGGCGCAGGGCGCCCACTCAAAGCTCAGAGATATGGAAATCGGGAACGCAGTTCAGATGCAAATTCACTTCAAAAGGCTATGGCGCAACAGTGTCCGTACATCCCAATTCTCGTCACCACATCCAACGCCACTGTTTACATGCACTCAACTCTTCTCAACTCTGGATCACCCTGAATACTCCCACACACACATACACTAAGTCTATCTTCCTCTTACACACACTCACTAGTGACTAATACTAACTTGGGCGGCTATGGCCGCCAACTCACTGCCTATGCACGCACTATCTTCATCAGCCCACTTCGTCTTCGGGCAACCTGCAGACCACCTTCGCACAAGACACTGTAGCAGCGCTTCCGCATGGCTTACGCAGCGAATGAATAAATGGATGGGCACTGCCTCTTGATTTATACTTCTGTAGTTCGTTGGTCTGCCCTCGTTCCACCGGGCCCCTGGTGCACACAGTCCCTCATGGTACTTGCTGACTGTACGAAGTGAGACTGGGACTGGGTACCGCTGACTCATCGAAGTTGGACTACACCATGTGCCCACTTGCCTTTGCCTAAACGCGAGACACTTTCGAAAGGCCACTTCCGGACCTTCCAGAAGTCTGTGGATTTGGCCTTTCGAGTACTGTAGCAGCTACAACCTTGACCTTTCAGGACTGTAGCAGCTACGACCTTGACCTCTCAGAACACCTACAGCTACGACCTCTACAGAGCTGTGACCCCTACTCGACAGACCTACAGATCGAACCCCTACAACTACACAGACCTACGGTAGACAACAACCAACCACCAAAACACAGGGCACGGGTTCAAACACTCGGGGGTCAACTCGATACTGTACATGGGCAAGGTAAGGTCTGGGAATCGAACTCTAGGACCCGCATCTGTGACTGCAGAAAGGTGAAAACCATTTCACTCCCGCCGAGTGTAGGACGGTCCATCCTCTCCGCCCTTGACTTCTAAGACTGGCCACAGTCCTCTATACGCAGGCAGCAACTTCTGTGAGATGTTCTCCTTAGGAGCAAACTCTTTTGACTTGACCCAGACTAAGTCGCCTACATGGAACTGTGAGGGGCAACAGTGCTTATTACCTTGCTCTATCATTCTGTGCCGGGCGGTAACCTCTGAATCTGATCCCGGTTAAGTCCTTCAAATGGTCTGCACGATCTTAAGGACTTACGCCGTTCGTTGGGAGTGCGACATGTGGCTAAGTGCACGCTGTTATTGTATGCACTGGCTACTTTTGGAAGCATCTCATCCCAGTTGATCTGGTCGGGCCTGATGTACATCCTAGGAACTTGCTGCAGGAGCTTGTTCATCTGTTCAGTCTGACCGTTAGTCTCAAGATGACGGCCAGACAACATCATCAACTTGGAACCATAGACTCTCATTAGTTCCTACCAGTTCTGACTGGTGAACCTGGTATCTCGGTCACTAACTATCGACAACGGTATTCCATGCTCACTGACCCAATGGTCAAAAAACTTATGAACTACTAAATCTGTTCGTGCCTCTGCAGGCAAAGGGATAAAAATTGCATACTTGCTAAATCTATCTACTATAACCATGACTTGACTTTTGCCATGCCTACTCTTTACTCCGGCATCCATAAAGTCAATGGACACAGAATCTCCGGGTCTATCAAGAAAAGGGTCTGCTAGTGTCCTTTGCCAACCAAAATGTCCCTCTGTGTCGTGGCATTCCCCTAAGATCAAACTACGGATCTCCTCACTGTTAGGAACGCACAGGCGGTCAACTACATTAGTCTTCGCAAATAGCAATCCATCAGTAGTGCGGTAGTCTTGTTCGGACTTTGGGGACTCCTTAACTCTCTTGAGGAGGTCGATATAGATAGGGTCTTGTGCATACGCTTCTCTAACTTTCTGCTACAGGTCTCTCCCCATATCCAGATAGTGAACTATCGCCCCGAGGTAATCAGCTCTCCTGCTTAGAGCATCCGCAACTACATTATACTTCCCTTTGACTGGCTAGAGTTCGAAGTCATACTGATCTAACTCGGCGGCCCACCTAGTAAGCTTAGGTGTCATCTTGGCCTGTGTCTTCAACCACCTTAGCGTCTCGTGGTCAGAATAGACTTTGAAGTGCCTCCCAAGCAAGTAATGCTTTCAGTGCTCTAGTGCTTGCCTGAGAGCGCGCTACCTTTTCTGAAGGCATTTTAGCGGACATGAACTCTACGGTGTAGGGGCCGCACCCTGAAGGACTTTCGAGCCTTGGTCGAACCCACTGCGGGTCCCAGTTGGCTCGACCCGCCCACGCTCACGCTCAGGGCGCGGGTCGTTCGTCCCAGGGGCACCCCCACCTAATGCTTTGAGATGGATGGGGGTGGGCCAATTGCGAGAGGGCTTTACATTGGGGGATGTAGCTCCGCTCTTGCGTCAAGATGGTAGCTCTTTGGCACTCCTGGCGTTTTCTCGATTCAGTTAAGTCTGACCAGGCAATTGCTCCTTCCAATACGCAGGCAGTCCAGGGAATTCATTGAAAGTTTATCTTCATTCCATGTGTAGGCCAAGCGTCATCTCATGGACCACACACCTTTTCACTAAGCCTAGCGACTCAAGACCGCCCCTGCGGCATCCTCGGGGTGGAGTGGCACCGCCGGACCCCTAGCCGATATTTTTTTGCTCGAGTCACTGGTATCGCATTCACCTATCCAAGACCGCCCTTAGTCCTTCCGGGTGCACACTGCATTCAAGAGAGTCATTGCATTCAATCGACACACAATGTCACACCCCATGGTCTACCATGCAGTCATGCTTTCAATCATCAAGTCCCTCCCACATCCGTGGCCCGCCCGAAGCCCAAGTCTTTCACTCGTCGGCTTCCCGGTGAATCCAGTCCCGCTCAACACCCATCCCCAAGCTACTCACCTGCACAACACCACACGAAGCACGGACCAAATACAATCCCCGTTGGGGTCAACACACCGTCCCTCCCTGCAAGCCTAAGTTTCCTTTGCCCTTCGATGATCCTTTGGTTGTCCCGTCCTTCCCTCAAGCAACCCATGCATTCACCTTAGTCATGCAGTCGAGGGAGATGGTTGAGTCAAACTGACCTTGTTACAAAAACAACACTCCTTTTTGCTTTATCCAATGT